TTTGCGGTGGCATAAATCACAGAAGACTTGGAGACAGCAATTTGGGTTCTGTTTCGCTCACTGATAAGTTCTGTTTTCATTTTGTGCTTTCCTCTAACTGTTTGGTTTGGTTTCGGGAAAGGCTGTGGGAAGACAGATCGGTCTCATTCTCAGGATCAGTGCAAAAGCAAACCTAACAGCTTTGACTAAATGCATTTCTTAAGGACATGACTTTTAGATGCTGTTGATCTCCTACAGTTAGTTTTTAGACCTGGCATTTCTTCTTTTGTCCTCCACTTGTCCAGTTTCCTCAATTATTTTTACGGCACACTTCACATGATGTATGCCAGGTTTTCCACTTTTACTTTGGGAATCACCTTGGTACAATAATTTTGTGCCTGTCAAACTGTGTTATCTTTGCTAAATAAATGGAAACAAATGGCATGTTACTGTACCAGAGTTCTACTAACAGTGTGACTAAAGAAGCAATTTAAAATAGATTCTTAAGTGGCTTAACAGACAAAAAGTATTGCTGTGATCAGAGACGAGGACTGGACTGAAACTGAGTGAAAAAGCAGCCGATGTCCAAAGAAAGACTTTTAGAAGAGCACTTTTAAAATAAGGAACTGCATTGCAACAAAGTCTTGCTCCTTCGAAGCAAAATATAAAGAAATATGTTCTGTAAGATTACTATAATATAAATATTATTAAATGCAAATTAATTGTTTAACAGTAAAATAATTGGACTTTATTAAGTCTCTTAGCTATTTAAAAAAAATTTGATTGTGTGCATTATGTGGTTATGTGAGACATAACAAAAAAAAGTTTAATTTAATTTATTAATTTACATTTTCTTACGATGGTAGTGATCCTATGATTTGTTGATTTTCTCATGCAGACCTGGCATTTGGCTCTACCGTTACGATAAAAAACCTCCGTATTGCTGGAGGTTATTTGCACTCTCATTGGCACTTATACCCAGAAGGAGTTGGCGCAAGGCAGCAGCAGGTCAGGCTACTTGTTGAAAACTGAAATATTTTATATATTTGTAGTTTCTTTGTTTTTTTAACTTTAAATGTTTTCTTATCATTTCTTTGCTTACAGGTGACAGCCTACCTCCATAAGGACTACAACAACTTGTGGGTGGTTCACAGACAACAAGATAATAATTGTGAGGAACTGACATTGATATATTTAACAATGTTGCCAAATACAATGTTAAAATCCAGCTGGGATAAAGAGTTGTTGTTTTATTGTTCATATCTATTGTTTTGGGGTTTTGTTTTTTTAATAAGCTCAATCTGGCAACCCTGATCTTGTTCGCCATGGTGATATCGTTCGACTGGAGCATAAAGAGTAAGTATTATGAGTGACGAGAAAAATGCACATTTTATTTAAAGTGATTCAGTCTCAGTTCTATCCCAAATCTCTTTGTGTGTGTGTTTTTCTTTCAGGACAACTCGTAACCTTCACAGTCACCTCCATGAGGCACCTCTGACCAAGAAGCACTTCCAGGTTACAGGTTATGGCATTGTAAGGAAGGCTTTAACATAACATCTGCACTAAAAATACAGATTCAGTTGGACTCGACAGATTTATTGCATATTCTGTTTTGGGGTTTTATGGGTGTTCTGTACCCCAACACTAAAATTATTTTTGGTCTGTTCTTAGAATGGCACAGGGGACGCCAATGACCTGTGGCAGGTGGAGGTGTGCGGAGGTCAGAAGGGTGACCCAGTAAAGGTGCTGCGCAGCAAAGTTCGCTTTCTACATCGAGCTACCGGCTGTGTGCTTTACTCCTCTGGCAAAACTCTTCCAAAGTGGTAAAAC